ATCCAGCGTCCCTCCCTTAAAAGGTCTCTGGTGAAATAAATTATTATAATGGAACCTTAAAGTGGTCTGTTTTTTTATATATATATATATATATATATATATATATAAATAAAGAGAGAGAGAGAAAGAGAGAGAGATGTAATAGGCCTGGGATGATATTGCGGTATAAAAAAACAGCAAAATGATAACAATTTTAGCAGTAAGATTGATGACATTATACTTATATATATATATATATATATATATATATATATATATATATATATATATATATATATATATATATATATATATATCATAGGCCTTTTGACTAAACTGAAACACGATCAGACAGATTTTAAAGTCGGAATTTTGGAACAAGAAAACGAGAAATAAACAAAGAAAGGGAATTCACTCTCCTGCGGAATGTTGTTGTTCAGAGGGCACTCTGTGAAAGCTATTTTTCTGTGAGTAAACGCAAATCCCTGTTTAATCCTTGAATTTGTGATTTCATTTTGAAAATTTATTTTAACTTCGATGTGTGTCTTTTCTGCAGGTTCTTGAATGAAGAAGCTAAAAGTATGCATCTGATGTCATTAATGCAGTGGAACGTTTGGTTGAAGTGTGCTGCGACAGGTAAAAATCGTTTTTGTTGTCTTTAATTATTTTTATGTTTATTAAACGGAAAGCAGAAATCCGGGAACGTTTCTCCAACCAAATGGTCCTTTTTTGCCTTTGTTTTCGAACTTACGTCACCCTTTGTAAGAGAAGCTACCGTTTTATCCAGCGTTCTGTAAACTGTTCACATCCTAGCAAGGTTCTATTTTCGCTTTTAAGGAACGCGCACTCACATGTTTCGATTTCCCAGAAAGCCGATATCTGCATCATTTTGAGTCCGAAACCTAAACAAACAATTTCAATAGAGTTAATGGATTTTTATTGCACTAAACGTTATTTTTAATGAATAACCAAGTTTTAAACAGACACAACGTTTTTAATATAAAACACTATGTATTACGTCTACCGACATGTGCACTCGATAAAACTTTAAGAAAATGTGAACCCCCAGCCACACACACACACACACACACACACACACACACACACACACACACACACACGCATCTCTCTCTCTCTCTCTCTCTCTATATATATATATATATATATATTATGCGCATATGCGTAGTACTAAGTGGAAAGCGCTCAGTATCAGTGATAAAGCTAACATATTCAGTTGTATGGATATGAGGTGTTTGTGACCCTGGGTTTCACGCTTTTGCGATCATCAAATGCTTGAAACCAAGGGTCACAAACTCATATTCATATACCTGAATATATATATATATATATATATATATATATATATATATATATATATATATATATATATATGTAGTAGGGGAAATAAATATTCGTATACTTGAAAATTGTATTTTTATAAATGTAAAAAGCCTTAAATAAAACAAATCTCGGCACATTTTATGTATAAAGACATATACTATAAAATATAATAATAAACTTAATTAATTCTTGATCTAACAGAAATTAATGCACTTTTTAAAATTCTAACTGGTGAAAAAAGTATTCGTACAAATCAATTATTAGAATAAAATAATCAATTAATTACGAAAAAAAGTATATTCTAGAATGTTCCAGTAATGTTATCAGTAATTATAGTTAACGCTATTAGCCATTATCAGAGCATTTTGCAGTTTCTAGTTTTACGAGAAGGTTCTAATAATGCATAAGGTAAAGAATTGACTATTTCACAAAAACAACACATTTTGTCTATTTGGAAAGATGTGAACAGTTACAGAACGATTTCTAACAACGTGAATATTCCTTTTACTACAATTCCTTCGTTCATTGCAAGGTTGAAAACTCGTAACAGCGTCGAAAACCAAAGACGAACAGGTGCTCCAAGGAAGATTTCTCTAAGATCAGCAAGGATATTAGGACGCCAGATCCAAAAAATCCACAGGTTACCCAAGAAGAGCTGTAGGAACATCTGCGTGCATTAGGCATTAAAGAAACCAAGCGTACAATAAGTAAGGAACTACGCAAAAACAGTCTGAAATCACGCATCCCTAGGAAGACTCCACTACTCTTGAAACGACACAGAGATGCGAGGCTAAAATTCGTTAGAGAGCATAAGGATAAAGAATATTCGTTTTGGGAAAAGGGACTATGGACAGATGAAACTAAAATAGAGTTGTTTGGTCATAATTATCGAAATCGTGTGTGGAGGAAGGACGGTGAAGCCTACTTACCAAAGAACACGTTACCATCTGTAAAGTTTGGTGGTGGCAGCATCATGATCTGGGACTGTTTTTCTGAAAAATGTGTTGGCAGAATATCAATAATAGATGGCAAGATGAATGCCGAAAGATACCAGAAAATCCTGCAAGACAATTTAATGCGTTCTGCTGAGAGATTGCGGCTACCTCCTGATTGAATTTTCCAACTGGATAATGATCCTAAGCATACCGCTAGATCTACAAGGAAATGGTTAGCTGAAAATAACGCTGATGTCTTGCAATGGCCAAGTCAGTCCCCAGACTTGAACCCAATCGAGAATTTATGGCGATATTTGAAAATTCAAATTGGGAAAAGAGCACCAACAAATATCAAGAATTTGAAGACAATATGCCAAGAAGAATGGGACAAAATACCACTCAATGTGTGCATTAGTTGAGACGTACAGGAATAGACTGGTAGCTGTTGAACTCAATAAAGGATATTCCACAAAGTATTAAATTAAGTTAATATGCTTTTTTGTTTTGTACGAATACTTTTTTCATCAGTTAAAAGGAAAAAAAATGCATTAATTTCTGTTAGAATAAGAATTAATTAAGTTTATTACTATTTTTTTTAATAAAATGTATCTTTACGCATAAAATGTATCAACATTTTTTAGTTAAGGCTTTTACGTTTATAAAAATACAATTTTTCATGTGTACGAATATTTATTTCCCCCACTGTATATATATAGTGTGAGGCAAAAAATGGACGCATCTATAGAAATGATGAAGAAAATATGAAGCTTATTACATTTGTATCTACATATATTAACAGGCCTAAGCATTGTTCTGACTTCGAAAAGGCCAAGTAGCCGCTTTTCAAGATCTTGGCCTGTCGAATAGAGCGATAGTTGAAAAGATTAATCGAAGTGAGTCATGTGTCCGCAGGTTAATCAAAAAGAGAAATCCAACTGGAACTTATAATAGACGTAGCAGACCTGGCCAACCGCTAAAATCTACCGACATAGAAGATAGAAATTTGGTTTGTCAATGCAAAAAAGATCGAATCGCAATTGCACAAGATGTTTCCAAAGTGGCTAATTTGGCGGTTTCTTCAAGAACAGTCAGTCGCAGGATTAAATCAAAAGGTATTGTTTCCAAATATATAAAAAAGAAACCTTTCGTATCTGAAAAAAAAAACCCAAAAACGGTTACGTTTGGCTTGGTCTGGTCTAAATCTGATTGGGAAGATGTTATGTGGAGTGCCGAAAGCCCCCTCTACTCTTAGATATGAAGGACGAATACGTGTTTGGTGTACGCCCAGTGAAACGAATACTCCAGTGCCTACCAAGGGTACTGCTGAACACGATATAAAAATCAACGTTTGGGGTGAATTCTCAGCTGCAGGAGTTGGCAATTTGTACAAAATCAAGGGAATCATGGACCAGCATCAATAGTACAATATTCTTGTTAATCAAATGCGGCTTTCTGATAAAAAAAAAAGTTTTTGCGAAAGATCAACGCTTTACGTTCCATCACGACAACGATCCTAAGCATACTGCCTTAAAGAATAAACGTTATCTAGAAAGGAAGCGCGAAACGAGGGTAAATTGCAACTCTTCCAGTGGCCGAGTCAGAGTCTTGACCATAGCCCAACTGAAAACCTTTGGGCGACAATAGACAAGTGTGCCTGTAATAAGAAAATTAACACAAAATATGAGCTTTTTCGCGAATTAAAGAAATGCTGGAAAAATCTGGCCAAGGATGTTGACTTAATAAAGAATTCATGTCAGGATGAATTAAGGCCGTTATTAAAGCAAAAGCTTACCCAATAAAATACTAAATGATATTTTGACTTGTATTATGCACATATGTACATCTGCATTAATACCCTCTATTAATAAATGATTTCTATTACTCAGTTGTCTTGGTAAAAATTCAAAAATTGACTTTCTTTGGATGCGTTCATTGTTTGCCTTATAATTTTATATACACATACAGTTAAAATATGTTAAATTTATAAGGAAAGTGTGCAAAATATCAGGACTATAACACTGATATGGTGGACATAGGTATCAACACTGCATTGTGATTCTCAGTTTCACACCTCTGTGTGAAATTACTAGTTATCACGCAGTGTTGGACTTAAGTCGGAGATCCGTTCCTACAACTCGTAATAACCTTATTTTCGACGTAGGTCGGAACTCACCTACATAAGCGCCAACGAGTTTAGGAGCTAGAGGACCATAAAGATGGGCAAAAATTTCGCAGAAAAACGACACAAACGAGAGACAGGGAATGTAGCATAATCCAATATAAAGTAAAGCCGGTAAAGGAACAAGGCCGTTTTCCTCATATAGTGCCATGTAACGACGTATTATATTATGTGAGATGGCACCGTAAACACGAAACGCCGTACGTCGGGTCAGACGTAACCCGAGGACATTCTGTATATATTTCTAAAGTATTAACGGATTTTTTTTTTAATCCGACATATTTTTGTTAATTCGAACGTCATTTTCAGCAGATTTGAGTAGACCTTTCATTAGTAGACGAAATAAACAATGCTTTAAAACAATGGAACATTGACTCAAATATGGTTATATACTAAGATGACGTTTGAATTAATCACACTCGCAATTCAGTCTTAATTGATTTAGTGAGTCAAATTTGCTAACGATTACAGCTCATAATCAAGTGACCCCTCTGCCCTTTAAATAATCGTATCTCATATGTGTGTATAAATACCTTTCAGACTAGACGCACCACAATATAGGTTTTATGCTGGTGAAACTATATACAACACGCAGATCTATCTATCTATCTATCTATCTATCTATCTATCTATCTATCTATATATATATATATATGACAAAATCGCTACACAATTACAGGCGTGTCTTAATGCGCGTACAACGCATCTCATCAGGCGATTGAAAATTACTAGGAAGTAAAGGATTTAATCAGTCTCCTTTTACGCAAAAAGAAAAAGAAGGAGGTGGTTATAAGCTTTTTGTGCTATGCCTTATATCAACCAATCAAATATGAATGAATTTAGGTATATATATATATATATATATATATATATATATATATATATATATATATATATATATAAATATATCTTTATGTAAGTTAAGTATCTATTTGCTTTCTATCTATCTATCTATCTATCTATCTATCTATCTATCTATCTAAGACTTATCATTATCAATGTGGCTTTTCTAGCTATCTGCATGCATGTATATATATATATATATATATATATATATATATATTATCCTTATTTAAGTTAAGTATCTATTTGTTTTCTATCTATCTATCTCAGTCTGTTCATATCTATCTATCTATCTATCTATCTATCTATCTATCTATCTATCTATCTATTTATCTATCTATCTGTCAGTCGGAAGTATTTTGCTATATACTCCGATATAGAAGCTCAACAGAATTATTCGATACATGAAATGGTATTTTCGTCCATAGAATCATAAAAGAATCTGGTTAGTGTTACAGCTCGGCCACGCCCCAAATCACACACTTAGCTATACTTAAAGGGAGGTGCGCTCACACACACAGGAAATCGAACACCAAGCTACGGAAATATTAAATTAATTATCTACTCAAATTGCTATAAGTTTTATAATTAGTTTATCCCTTTTTTATGTATGTACAAGCCGAAATGTGTCCGTATATACTATCAGTGATGCACTTAAAAACGGAACGGATAACGGAAATGCTTAATTTTACACACTTAGACACACACACTCACATACACATAGATATATGTATTTAGATTAGAAAACACGTATATAAATTTATACGAATATACAAGATTACACAGATGTGTGTGTATATATATATATATATATATATATATATATATATATATATATATATATATATATATATATATATATGTATATGTATATATATATATTCACGCCAATATACATATGCATGCTTACATTAGTGAACGGAAGGGATGTAGGAGATATCTTAACATCGCCCCCTAGTGGCTCCTAATGGATATTTACGCCGCGATGTTATTCCATAGACAGACGATGGTTCTCTCACTCACCGCTTGGCGGCGCTGTAATGAGGCAGTATGCGGCGTTCTGGTTGGCCACTGTAAACATTTCCTCTGCACACCAGGACACCTTGCTGCGAGCAATTTCACTGCCTTGGCTTTGTACGGAGGAATACATTTTCCTATTTCGTTTATTTTTATCTATATGTTACAGTTATCTATCAGCAGATATATTTTTTGACATTTTGTCTTCTCAGTGTATTTTATTGTAGATTTTTCTTTCCGTATTTTATGCGCAGGTTGAAGGAAGTTTTTTTTCTTCTTCTTCTTTTTGTGTATCATATTTTTCTTCCGATTATTTTAGTTTCCCGTTCGTTTGAAACATTTTTGGGGATTTTTTTTTTTTAATCTTTTGTTTTCTTTAACATCATTTTTGTTTGGCGGGAAAGATTTATATACCACACTATATTAAAATCACATATGTCATATCGATATTTTCACTCATATAAATTATATGTATACACACACACACGCATTTATAGAAATGAAGATTCACTTACACATGTATATCTTTATCTACCTATAACATATACATTTACAAATTTTTATAAAAGGGTTTACTTACATAGGTATATATATATATATATATATATATATATATATATATATATATATATATATATATATGTGTGTGTGTGTGTGTGTGTGTGTGTGTGTGTGTGTGTGTGTATTGGCATATGTTTGCAATGTGAATCTACAAATATCTCACAAACACAGAAGTACACAAACACGCGGGTAAACACAAACATAAACATTCAAACAGATATATCCTTATATTAATATATTCGCATTAATAAGTGGAAAAAGGATTTGCCTCACAGATAATTTTAAGAGATAAAAGATAATATTAACTTAAGAAACGTCTGGAAAATAACAATGGTCACTTAATACAATTCGTGTGAGATTTTAAAAAAATATTTCGATGTTCATTGGCAGCATCTTCAAAACAGAGAGTTTTGAAATACACACAATTAATCATAAATTCTTAATACAATAATATTGAAAGTAATCTATTTATAGAGATACTATAAGTTTTGGGCAATTTTTACGTGTAATATTTGGGAACTTTTGACTTATCTATGTACTGGCGCACTCAGCTGGCAGTGTCGTAGTCATGATAATGTCGAACTATTCCGATATTTTGAAGAAACCAAAAAATAAAGAGACCAACTCTGTGAGTAATTGGAACATATATTAAAAAAAAAAACTAATTTATGTAAACATACTTATAATATTTTAATTTTAGAAACATGTTACTAAGTTATATTATTTGTTGATATAACTGATATGTAATCGGTACCTATTACTTTTGTTAATTTTGATGCAAATCTTGATATTTTACCTTATTCGGACAAAGCACTGAACAATTATTAGACTATTATTACTGACACTAGAAAGAAGCAAGAGAAGCAAAAAGGAATGCAATAATAGTAATAGTAATAATAGTGGTCGTGGTGATGATGGTGGTCATGGTCATAATGATGGTAGTGGTGATGATGGTGATAGTGGTGATGATGGTGGTTGTGGTGATGATGGTTGTCGTGGTGATGATGGTTGTCGTGGTGATGATGGTGGTAGTGGTGATGATGGTTGTCAGGGTCATGATGATGGTAGTGGTGATAATGATGGTCGTGGTGATGATGATGGTAGTGATGATGATGATGATGGTAGTGGTGATGATTGTCGTGTTGATGATGGTGGAAGTGGTGATGATGGTGGTCGTGATGATGATGATGGTAGTTGTGATGATAGTGGCCGTGGTGATGATGGTGATCGTGGTGATTATGGTGGTAGAGGTGATGATGGTGGTCGTGGTGATGATGATGGAAGTGGTGATGATGGTGGTCGTGATGATGATGATGATGATGATGATGATGATGATGATGATGGTAGTGGTGATGATAGTGGTCGTGTTGATGATGGTGGTAGTAGTGATAATGGTGGCAGTGGTAATAATAGTGATAGTGGTGATGATGGTGGTCGTGGTGATGATGATGGTAGTGGCGATGATGGTGGTCGTGTTGATGATGGTGGTAGTAGTGATAATGGTGGCAGTTGTAATAATAGTGATAGTGGTGATGATGGTGGTCGTGGTGATGATGGTGGTCGTGGTCGTTGGGTAATAGTGACTTATCGGTTACATTTTAATGGTTTTTGTTACCTATTTATTTATTTATTAGTAATTTATGTACAATTTTTATAAGCCATACAATACTAACACTTATAATAAACATTTTTTTTTAAATATTAGTAACTATATATTAATTGTATTTATGGATGAAATATATTCGTGTAATAACAGTAAAAGAGAGATTTGAATACAATTTCATATTATTGAACATAAGACAGAAAAAGTCAAAGAAATGTCCGTTGAAAACTGAAGTTATGTCGGAGTCTCTTGAAGAATGCCGTGTCTTCTTGGGACCCAAAGGCTTATAAATGAAGATTTTACCGTTGTTGTTGATAATAGCAATAGTAAAAAAGAAAAAAAAAAGCAGGCGGAGGCCTGACCTGAACTTGATGACCCACCATAGTATGGATATGTTCTGGCGCCCACGTACAAGTCCCCACGTATGGGTAAATACGAACTAACTATAATGCTGACACAACGAAAAAAATCGATAAACTTTATCGGTCGTCACACAGGTCAACAAAGACCGCGATCCCCAGTGAGGAACCAGACTGTGATTGAAACATCTGCAACTTGAACAAACGCTACTGAACGAAAACTAAAGGAAAACCATACCAAGGACTGTCTTCAAAGACGCCCTCTATATTCGTTAGAAGCAAATCCCACAAAAAGAACAATAAATAACTGCTCTAGGGAAGAGTACATTCAAGAAATGATAACATTTTACATTGCCACAATAAACCCGACAACGATTAAGCCGCCTACAACATCTGGTAAGAAAAACACTCCTCAAATAGACTAAATATCGATGCCAACAAACTAGCCAATGTTAAGCGTGACATCATCAAAAAAAAAAAAAAAAAAGAAGAATACCTGACATAGAACTCGAAAGTATCCAAGAAAATATCTGTTGTGGGGTTCAACCCTTTTTTTATACAATTGAACTCGACCATTGTGTACTTGTACTGCTGCCGGTGAATACCCGGGAGAACAGACACACAGTGATACAGTGATACAGCGAGAGAGTGAGAGTGTGAGGTAACCACTTTGTAGGAGTCACAGTTGCGAGCACGTAGACTCAGAAGGAAGTCATACTTCGATACTGAATTTCCCAGACTGTATATATATTATTATTGCTACTAACCGCATTTCTGGATCTACTAACCGTATTACCAAGTGTATTATTACGTCAATGCATTTATTTGCTATATTTCATTCCTGCGTTTGTCATTCAGACAAGGGATCCAGAATGAAAGAAAGAAAAAGCAGACAAGTGAAACAAAGCCGTGACATAAAGAATGACGCAGCAAAAGTTAAAAAAGAAGGTGAAATAACAAATTCAAGTGAAGGTACAGAAAATCAGGCATTATGAAAAAAGAAACAGATTCTTCTGACAAAAAAATATCTTCAAAGATGCCAAGAAAATATATGGAGAACTGGGAAAAATAAAATAAAAATAAATGATCCATTTAATATCCATGAAGTTGAAGAGTTCTAGTATAAGATGTGGAAAAACTGACAAAAGCACAATGAAAGAGGGACTTGGATTAAACAAAAACAGGAAGAGTACATGCATATAGAGTGCCAAAAATGAACGAATATCAATATTACTGAAACAACCGCTGTCATCTGCAAAACCAAATCATGGAAAACACCTGAAGTAAACAGAATAACCAATTTTTGGATGAAAAAAAAAAAACTATCTAGAACCCAGCATGACTTCGCACGGCCATAGAATGACATAATCATAAATCCAGAAAAATTCTCCAAATGGCTCACGCGGGGAGTAACTTGCCAAAACAGAAAAGACGCAAACCACAAAGAACTATAGGTCCATCACCTGCCTACAGACAATGTACAAGATCCTGAATTCTATCATAACCGAGTGGGACATACAACTTATTTGAGAAAAACAATTTACTCCCTGCAGAACAGAAGGGGTATAAAAGAGGAAGTTATGGATACAAGGATCAAGTAATTATCAATAAAACAATATTGGAAGTGTGAAAACAAGGAAGGGAAACTTATGGATCGTCTACAGAAAGGCTTTCGACAGTGTACCGCACTCATGGATAGAGGAAAGCCTAAAAATATACAGAGTATGCCATACAATGGTCAAATTCATAGCGGAGAGCATGAAAAATGGAAAACAACACTAAACCTACACCATACAAACGGGTCATAAACATCGAGACTAATTAACATCAAAAGCGGCGTCTTCCAAGGAGATTAATTGTCACCACTGCTCATCTGCCTTGCATTTGCGCTACCTAGCTGCTTATTGAACAAAAGTAGCTATGGAAAAGAAGTCACAGAATGGAAAACTGAATCATATATTCCATACTGATGATCTTACAACGTTTGCCAAGGATAACAATCAACAGAAATATCTATTCACCATCGTCAAAACTTTCAGCGAAGACATTAGGATGCAAATCGGAATCAACAAATGTACCAAAGCCGCATTTAAATGCGATAAACTAACGAAAACTCCAACTTTAGAACTTGATTAAGGAACTAGAACAAGATGGTACACAAAAATACATCGGAATTAATGAATGAGACAGAATACAATATTCAATTATGAAGAAAAAGATCCGAAAAGAATATTATAGGAGAGTGCGTTTGATACAAGAAAGCGAACATAATAGAGCCAATAAAATGAAGGCTATCAACACATTAACTATACCTGTGGTAACAAAGGCTTTTTAAACAGAATTGAATGACATAAAAAAATTGGACGCTAAGACCAGAAAAATGCTTGCCCAAATGAGAATACATCACTCGAAATCAGATGTTGATAGCTTGTACTTACCAAGAGCATTAGGAGGCCGAGGTTTAATCCAACTTGAATTAACTCTAAAAATTACAACAATCGGATTGGAAGCATGTCTCACAGCATGTCTCCTACAAATAGTAAAACACCACTCCATCAACAAAGAAGCTGCACTCTTCAAGAAACTGCTTGATATACATGAAATGCTACCAACAAAAAACGAATACCATCAACTTGGCCAAATGAAATTACAAAAAGAACCTGGAGGATAAGGCGTTGCATGGCAAATACGGAAAAAGAACGAAATAAGCAGATGTGAACCAACAAAAAACACATCAGTGGCTGAGGAGAACCGGGCTGATATCTGAGACAGAAGGCCTAATTATTACGGCTCAGGACCAATGCCTCACAACCAGATCCTATCAGTGCCATATAATCAATGATAGAACTAACTCGAAATGCAGGATCTGATCGTATTATCTCAGGATGTCTAGAACTAGCAAAATGAAGAATATACCCACAGGCATAAGTTATATCTGTGGGTACATAACTATTTGTGCACTGGAAGATATTCAAGAAGCTCAAAATCGAAACTACTGAGAGATGGCATGAGCACTAACCAGACACAGTTACCCAAAATAACGATGTAACTATCCTCTGGGATATGCCAATTCAAAATGACAGGGAAATAAAAGCCAACGGACCTTAAATTATAAAGTCAAAAAAATTCAAGAAGTGCATTATATTTGCATAGCAGTACTATCTGAGAGTAATAACTCCATGAAAATTATTGAGAAATTGTCCAAATCCAAGGAGCTGGAGATCGATATTCAAAAGATATGTGGAGGAAAGCCTGAGATCCTACCAATAGTAATCGGAGCTTTGGGCCTCGTGAGAAGAGGATGTACAATTTGACGAGCAGTGTCCCAGGTAGCACCAACATAAAAGTTGCCATAAGATCACCCTACTAGGAACATCCCATATATAAAAAAGTGCTATCAATTAAATACAAAGCAAGAAACATAACATACACAAGTGATAATAATAATAATAATAATAATAGTAATAGTTTCTCATATCCTGTTATTTTTTCACTGCATGAGTAAATTAGGTTTATTCTAAATTGATAGATGAATCCCAGTGAGTTACCATTATATTTTTTACTAGTAATTCTTTAGTCCAAGATGGAGAGCTTAGAAATCGGCTGCAATGGGCCGGACAGCTTGCCTGAATGCCAGACATGCGCCTACCAAAACAAATATTCTCGGAGCTCGCATCTGGCAAGAGACCATGTGGATCCCCACGTCGTCGATTCAAGGTTCATCTAAAATATCCTTGGTGAGAACAAAAATTGATCGGGTCATTTGGGAGGCGGAAGCTGCAAAAAGAATCAATGAGAGAAGAGCAGTTCACAC